AGGGAAGAGGGGAGAGGGGAGAGAGAAAAATATGAATGTCTGGGGAGAAAGGGGCAAAGATGAAAGATGATGAGCTCTAGCTGATGAAGTGTCTCTTATAAGAAGAGTGGACACAAACCCTGGAAATAAATCAGACAGGGCTCCCTGCGCTCTCTGGCTTTGAGCCCTTCAAAAGTGTTAGCACTTGCAGCTGTGAGGCTAAGGTAAGGTAATAAGGGGATCAAGATGGTGAGAATTCTTATGGGGGCCCTCCTTTCTATGGCTAGTCAGGGGGGAAACTAGGCAGACCCAACCTCAATGGAACAAGGATGCTGGGGAGTTCCTCCTCCTCCCTTCATGGGTTAAGGTGGGAAAATGAGATGAACCTGAACTACAAGACTCTGGTTAGAGCCAAGGGAGAAGTTCCTACTACTGGAACTAGCTCATAAAAGAGGGCGCCAGGAAGCCACACAAGGAGGTGGAACCTTCTGGCTTGGACAGCTCTGTAGCATTCAACTCTGGTCATAAGAATTCTCTGAATGGGCCGGGCATGGTGGCACACACTTTTAATCCTAGCACTCAGGAGGCAGAGGCAGAGGCAGAGGCAGGTGAATCTCTGTGAGTTCAGAGCCTGGTCTATGTAGCAAGCTCCAGTCCAGCTGGGGCTACAGGGAGACCCTGTCTTAAAAAAGACCAAAAAAAAACAAAAAAACCACTTCTGAATGAATTTACTCGCTGGTGTTGGGCTACATGAGATACAGAATGGCTCAATCACTGTTACATCCCCCAGGATTCCCCAGACTTGGGAGATAAACATGGGAAACTGTTACTGGACACACATTCTACCAAGTACAGAATTGAATGTCTCTGTGCCCTTAGAACACGTCAGAAAGCCACAGGCAGTGTGTGGGTTAGATATATTCAGGAAGGTTGGAGACTTCTATCCCTCTTCCTCAGGCTCATATGATTTCTCTTTCCCATCATGCCATGTTCCCTGCATATAGTAGGAAAGTACCATAGTCCTTTTGTTCTTTTGTCCTCCTTCTGATCCCTTTCTCCCCACCTTTGTGTTCTCAGGATCAAGCAGTGCACCTCTGTGAACATGGAGGAGCTGGTGATAGCCCATCATGAAATGGGGCATATCCAGTATTTCATGCAGTACAAAGACTTGCCTGTGTCCTTTCGGGAGGGTGCCAACCCTGGCTTTCATGAGGCTATTGGGGATGTGCTGGCTCTCTCAGTGTCTACCCCCAAGCACCTACACAGCATCAACCTGCTGAGTAGCGAGGGCAGTGGCTATGGTGAGAGGGGGTAGAGAGCCTGGTGGGCAGGCTGAGGGCTCAGAAGGGGTACTTTGGAGATGGGAAAGAGAAAGCTTTAGTGGACTCCTGGACAAAGATTTGGGACAGAGCAATAGGAAGGAAAGAGCACCATCAGGGTGATCCTGGGAGGAGAGAATACACAGATCATCCCAAAAGGCAGGCTAGGCCCTAGCATGAGGCTGGCATGGATGTGAGGCTGGACTTCCTCCCCTTGGCAGAGCATGACATCAACTTTCTGATGAAGATGGCCCTGGACAAGATCGCCTTCATCCCCTTCAGCTACCTCATTGACCAGTGGCGCTGGAGGGTCTTTAATGGAAGCATCACCAAGGCAAACTACAACCAGGAGTGGTGGAGTCTCAGGTTCTAGAACACTCGGTGGGGGTGTGGATTGGAGTAGATCTGAGTATCTGCATGTGCTTGTGTGCCAGCAGACAGGCAGATTTTGTGTATGTCTGTGTGTGCGTGCATGCGCGTGCGTGCGTGCATGCGTGTGTGTGAGATAAGAGCTCCAGGGATGGTTGTATATGCACAAGTAAAGGACAGCCTTGGGTGCAGGGTCCATCCTTCAATTAAAATAATGCCAACCTTCCCACAGCATGGTTCTCTCCAAACTCACTCTCTAACACATTTTCCCCCTTGACAGGCTGAAGTACCAGGGTCTCTGCCCTCCAGTACTCAGATCTCAAAGTGACTTTGACCCAGGGTCCAAGTTCCATGTTCCTGCAAGTGTGCCTTATATCAGGTAAGAGAAGGGAAGGGGAGGGCGATGCACCATGAAGGGAGGTGCCCTCAAGTTCATGTTTAAGCCACTGTCACACTCCATCCGCATCCACCGGTTGGGGCTGGCTCATGACACCTGGTGGCCTGGGCCCACTCACCTGCTACCAAAGCTGATGCTATTATTTTAAATATTCCTTGGATAATAAGAGAGCTTATACCAGCCAAACACTTAAAAACAGAAACTTAACCAAATGATTGGCTAATGGTCACCAGATCTAGTCTGGATAGGTTTTCTTGTATTTTGTTTTGAGACAGCATCTCACTCTGTAACCCAAGCTGGCATAGAGCCCACTATGTAACAGTCCAGGCTGGCTGTAAACTCACAGAAGTCCTTCTGCCTTAGCCCCTCACAAGTGCTTAAATTATAGACATGGGCCACCATACCCAGCACTGAATGGGCAGTTCACATAACACATGGTTGGAAACTGACTTAAATGTTGTTGAATGGTTTTGAGACAAAATTCCTTTGCAGTTCCTTTGCTACAAGTAAACAAATTGCTTGTAATACACTTTGAGTTGCACCTGAAATACCCCTCTAGACCCTGAAACACCCAAGACAGGAAACGCAGCTTAGCCAGAAGGAGCATGTTATAGTCGCTGGCTTGGGGATCAGAGCTCATGTCCTTTTTTTTTTTTTTTGAGACAGGGTCTCCCTGTAGCCCCAGCTTGCCTGGGACTCACTCTGTAGACCAGGCTGGCCTTAAACTCACAGAGATCTGCCTGCCTCTGCCTCCCAAGTGCTGGGATTAAAGGCAAGTGCTACCACGCCTGGCTCATGTTCTTTTTTAACTTGAACAACATCCTCCATATCTGTGGGCATTACTACCTATAGACCTGAGGGCTATGGTCCACCATTGTGAGCTACTCTCCTAAGTGGAACGGAGCAGCAACAGCATCCTGTGCATCATGCAGCCATAGCATAGAGGACAGCCCTTTTCCTTCCTTGTGCCTTAGGAGAGCACTTAGAATGAGAAAAGAAAGGGCATGAGGTCTCCAAAGCCCTCCTGGGAGGTTATGGTTAGGCAGACTTCAGGACAAAGTTTCAGGTATTCTTGGGATACAGGTAGCTCAGGCCAACTGGGAGTCAAGGTGCAGGGCAGGGAGGGCCTCTCAGGAGGCCTGGGCTTTCTATAGTCATTGCCTCTGGTAGTCTCTGGAAGCTGAGTGAGGACAGACCCACTTGCCCATCTTTAGTTTCCTGACACCAGGAACAACATCAGCAGAGCCCAGGAAGAGAGACAGCACCTCCCTCAGCTGCTCCTGAAGGCAGCAGGGGGCAAAGGAACAAAGAGAGTCATCCCTGGTGTACATCAGACAGGCTTGACCTACACAGTGTCCTAGTGATGACTTTTGGAGAGGGGTCTCTACCCACCTGCTGGAGCTGTTTCTGGGGTTCCAGCACTCAACCCTCACACTGACATGGACCCTGTGACAGTTAGTGTCCCAGCTTAGCACAAAACAATTGTCCAGGCAGCCGTAATTAAAGGAGACTTGGCTCTCTAGAAAAACACATCCCACATTCTGGGCAGCCGCCTGAGCGGAGAACTTTTGAGGTGGTGCCAGGAGAGCAAATAATACATGGCTTGTGCCTGTGGTACTAGCTAGGACATTTAAAACTTTCAAAATCTGATGTTGTTGCCCTGGCCCTGACTAGCAGATTTCTACCAGGAAATTACTGCTGCTTCAGATAAGACTGGCTTCCCTATCCAGAAGGCCCTACCAGATCCATACCCATAGCCTCTGCCCTAGGAATGGAAAACTCAAGTTTGCCAAGTTTTTGAGGGGCTCTTCCCATGTCTACTCCTTGGATCCTGGTGGAACAAGCACACCTCAGAAGTAAAGGCAGCCTATAAGGGTGGGAGGCATCCATACCGCTGGGAAGACTCAGCTGACACTGAAGGCCAAGGTGGGGCACACCCTGACTTCCTGATTGTGTCCTGCTGTGTTGGGTCCCTGTGACTGTCAGAAGAGGCTGAGTCTCAGTGGCACCAGCTGAGCCCCTCTACTGACACCCCACACCATACCTTCCCTCTACTCAGGCCCTCTACCCACTCCCCCATATCATCCCTTCCTTCTGCACCAGGTACTTTATAAGCTTCATCATCCAGTTCCAGTTCCACGAGGCACTGTGCCGGGCAGCTGGGCACACAGGCCCCCTGCACAAATGTGACATCTACCAATCCAAGGAGGCAGGAAAGCTCCTGGCGTGAGTTTTTCTCAAGCCCTTCTTTGATTCTTTGGCCCCCAGGAGCTCCTGGGACCACTCTGGGAGCACCTTCTGGCTAGCCTCTTGAGCTGAGAACTGCTAGGTGGAACCTGGGCCACCCTTGACATGTCACCTCCAGTAGGAAATTGGAATCCCCTGGACTCCTGGTCTTCCCTCCCCATTCCTACCCCAGACCTGCCCAGGGTCTTCCAGTCCTAAAGGGAAGTTTAGTCTTGTTAAGGGGTTATGGATAAAGGATATCAAACTGGACAAGAGGGACCAGGTCCTTCCTAACCAGTGTCCCTTTGGTTGCCTCTCCCAGGGATACCATGAAGCTGGGCTACAGTAAGCCATGGCCAGAAGCCATGAAGCTGATCACAGGCCAGCCTAACATGTCAGCCTCAGCCATGATGAACTACTTCAAGCCACTGATGGACTGGCTCATCACTGAGAACAAGAGGCACAGGGAGACACTGGGCTGGCCTCAGTATAACTGGACACCAAACACTGGTACCACCACCTACCCCCCCCCTCCAGCCTCAGGCTCAGCTCCCAGACCTCCCCAGTCCAGACAAGCTCTGATCTGACCTCAGAGCAAGGACAGGGACACCTGAGCACATGGCCCCAGCCCTCCTGTCACCCTGCCCACCGCCCTATCTCCTTGTTTTCTCACTCAGCTCGCTCGGAAGGCCCCTTCTCAGACTCTGGCCACGTCAACTTCCTGGGCATGAACCTGGAGCCACAGCAGGCCCGTGTGGGCCAGTGGGTGCTACTCTTCCTTGGCATTGCCCTGCTGGTGGCTACCTTGGGTCTCACCCAGAGGCTCTTCAGCATTCGCAAGTACAACATCCGCTGGCCCCACCGTGGGCCCCAGTTTGGCTCTGAAGTGGAGCTCAGACACTCCTGAGATGACCCTGCTGGCAAGGCTGGCAGAGAGGTGTCCCGTGAGAGACTTGGTTGGGGATATGGTGTGTGGGTAGGACACACCTTAGCTGGGCCTTCATCATCCTCCTGCTCGGTCCACATCTACTCTCTGATCCCTAGTCCCAGGCCCCATTCTTTCTCTCTGATCCCTAGTCCCAGACCCCATTCTTTCCATCTAACATGGAATTTCCCACCCAGTCTCTGTGACTACAATTAAAGGTCGTCCCTTCCAGCTGAGTCTGTGTCCCTTGTGGGGAAGCCAGGAACAGGACAGATTGCTTACCTGTCTCCTGGCAGTCTGGCTGGTCCCTTTCCTGGTTGCTTTCTCAGTCTTTCTCCAAGAAGAAACCCAAAGACCCCTCCACACACACACACCCAGCACTCTGGCCCCATCCCCCACAGCCCTTCCCACCTGCCTTCTCTATCAGCCTTGGCCGATTTGGGAAGCAGAGAGGGAATAGATGCTCTGGGCTGCCTGCCTGGCATGCAGATATGCTTTCCCTGTTCCACACTGCTCCCTGTCCTGGTGGTTCCCACAAACCAAGTGTCCACATCCTACATGTCCTTGCCTGCTGTGGAGTGAGGACCTCATGGTCACCTTTCTCTCCTGCCAAACCAGCTCTGTGTCCACTTCATGAGTGGACAGCCTGGGTTTTCTGATGGAGCCACAAGGCATTGCCCAGGGAAAAGCCCTAAACATTGGAGTGTGGTAGTAACTAGTGCCTGCACAGGGAGTTCACTGCCACAGGCCACCTGCTCACCCTCCCCAGCACACACCCTCAGTCTGAGCTGCCCCTTGGAAGGCCTGCTTGGATTTGAGGGGGTGTCTTTTGGGGGAACATTTTTTTAGTTTTTATCTACATGTTTATGTAGAAAACTTGGAAAAGTATAAAATAAAAGCCCTTTGTTATTAACATTAAGACATAAGAGCACTGTTGACGTTTGGTGTGTGTCTTTCCAGCCTTTCTTCCTCTGCACATGATTTAAACAGGATCACACTATGTACTGTGTATCCTTTTTTCACTTCACACAGCTATGTCCACTTTTCAGATTTTAATTACCAAAAAGAACTTGGCTGAATGAAGTTAGTCAGATTTCTGGGGCAGAGGGTCTACTTCCCATCTGTGCTGGATAGCTTTAGTGTCAACTTGACACACCTGGGTTGAGGGAGCCTCAATCGGGGAATTGCCTCTATTGGACTGGCCTGTGACCATGTCTGAAGGGCATCTTCTTGATGAGTGATGTGGGAGGACCCAGCTCACTGTGGGTGGTGCCACCCCTGGGCAGGTGGGCCTGTGTTGCATAAGAAAGCAGGCTGAGCAGGAGCCGAGGGAGCATGCCTGTAAGCAGCGTTCCTCCATGGCCTGTGCTCCAGCTCCTGCCTCCAGGTTCCTGCCCTGAGTTCCTACCTTGGGCTCCCTGATGAACTGCGACCTGGGAGATGTAAGACAAATAAACCATTTCCTCCCCAAGTTGGTACTGGTCAGAGTGTTTTGTCACAGCAATGAAGAACAAACTAAGACACCATCTGACCCCACCTCTGTTAGGACCAAATCATCTCTGGGCTTTGCTGCTATCTTTAATGGGGCTCACTCTCCCACTTCCTGGCCCCAGGAAGAGGAAGAACTGTGCAGGCCTCTCCTGTGGTACAGGACATGGAGTTGTGGAATTTTGAATTTGCAAGAGGGCGGAAATTTACAATTCAGGAAGACAATGGAACTTATAAACACACGCTCCAAATGGTTTCAAGCCTTCTACCACCACAGACTTTGGCTCCCCATTCCCCTTCCCAACCTATGTTTTGCAAGTTGTCTTCCAGACAAAGGTCATTGTCACATAACCCCCTTTCCTATTTTTATGAACTACAGAGGTCCATGCTGCCTGTCAAGGCTTATAGGCAATGTGAGGTCACCAACCTTCAGCACTCAAAGAACCAAACTGCAGACTCTGAGGGCAAAGAAGTTTACTATGTGGTTGACCTGACGAGTTTTATCCACTAGATGTGTGTGTGTGTGTGTGTGTGTGTGTGTGTGTGTGTACGTGCGCCATAGTATGAGTGTGGAAGTTGTAGGACAACTTTCGGGAATTGGTTCTCTCCTTCTACTGTATGGGACCCAGGGATCAAATTGAGGTCATCAGACTTGGCAGCAAGCCCCTGCACTCACTGAGTCATCAACCCTCCACCTTATTTTTTGAGGCAGTTTCTCACTGAACCAGGAGCTCACCAATTCCACTAGACTGGCAACTGGCAAGGGGCCCCAAAGATCTTTCTGTCTCTGTTCCTCCCAGCTCTGGGGTTACAGAAGTGTGCCACCATGCCCAGTTTTTACAAGGATGCTGGGGCTCTGAACTTAGAGCCTCGTGCTTGTGAAGAAAGCACTTTACCAACTGAGCCATCTCTCCAGTCCCTTCACTAGACTTTTTGAAATATTAGTTTTCTTTTTTGTTTACCTTTTGAGATGGGGTTTTGCTATGTAGTCCAGGCTGGCCTGGAAGTTGCTATACATTGACTGTATAGCCTCAAATTCTCAATCCTCCTGCCTCAGCCTCCCAAGTTCTGGGATTATATACACATGCCCCATTCTAAAACAATATACTTATTTAAACTCCTGTTTATGCTTCCTTGGGTGAGTGAGAATGAAGCAAGGCCCACCTGGAAGTTGGCAGAGAAAGACAAGGTGGTGATCGTCCTGCCTCAATCTCCCAGATGCTGGAATTACAGGTGTACGCCACCATTCCTGGCCAGCATACTTTTTTCCAAGACTCATCCATAGTTTATTTTATTTTTATTTATTTATTGTCAGGAAGGGCATGGGCCATGCCCAACATATATGTGGAGACCAGAGGACAGCTTACAGGAGTTGGTTCTCTCCTTCCACCATGTGGGGCCAGAGATTGAACTCAGGTGGTCAGGTTTGGTGGCAAGTGCCTTTTGAACCTTGTTTGAGAAGCATCACCTATGAGTCATCTTTAAAAAGAAAGAAATCCACATGAGCTGGGGGTGTAGTTCAGTTTGTAGAATACCTGCCTAGCAAAGCCCTGGTTTTTATCTCTAGCCCCACATACAACCAGTCGTGGTAGTACATGCCTGCAGTTACAGCACTAGGGAGGTAAAGGGAAGAAGATCAGGAATTCAAAGTCAAAGTCATTCTTAGCTACATAGCAAGTTCAAGGCCAACCTGGATTACATGAGACCCTGTCTCAGAGTGAGAGAATGAGAGAGAGAGAGAGAGAGAGAGAGAGAGAGAGAGAGAGAGAGAGAGAGAAACTTCTCCTGGCTGCCTGCTTGATGGCAGGCACGGGAGGTATCCGTTCCACACCATAGGAGGGGATTGGCCAGCCTACATAGGCAGCAGTGCTGAAGCTCTGTGATCAGAGGCACTGGGACCTCCCATGTGGCCACAGGGTGTCCAAGTCTTCCTTCGTGTCCTCTTTGTCTCAACCATCTAGAGAATCCACTTGTTTTCTAGCTTAGCTCTGCATTTTGCATTTTCAAAATCCTATGTTTTACTGTACATGGTGATCCATACTTTGAATTCTAGAATTCTGGAGGTCAAGGGAAGAAAATTTTGAATTCAAGGCCAGCCTTGGGCTACATAGCAAAATCCTCTCAACATCACAATAT